CGGAATTATTAAACACTTTTGTGGACTATTGACAAATCAGGCAACCTATAAGGCCATTTTTGTTAATTTTTATTTAGTTCATCGTTTTGTGGGCTTCAGATAACACATACCTAAAGAACGCTGGTACTTTTTTTTTTGGGTAAAAATAATTATAATAAGAAAAACAGTTATGGTAAAATGAGGTTTAGTGGAAACAAAATTATCTTATCTATGCTTTTGGCAGGTGGTTCAATGGCATAATATTTGGTGTATTTGTTAAAAAATGTTTACAGTCAAAGGAGAGTGATTTTATTCTTTTATATTTAGTGTATTCAATTAAATTGCCATTAATTTTTAAAAATATTTATAATATTTTCTAGAACCACTTAAAATATAGTTATAAAAATGGAATAATATAATATATAGATACATTCACAGATTGTGATTAATATAAATACACATTATGGCTAAGAAGTGAGTTTCTACTTTAAAGGTATACTTAAAGTTGTAGCATAACGTATTATATTTCTTTTTTATATATATTCCAAAAGTATTCAGTGCTTGAAAACGTATGCCCATACGCCAATAATGATGGATTATCTGCTGCACTTACTTTCCCACTTCATCAGGCACGAACTCCAGGAAATTTCTAAAAAAAAAAAAGAAATATATAGGATCGCCGGAGAGCAGCTTCCAAGTATTTGCGGCACGTTCCCATTGATTGCGTTTGAGAGCTGCCTCCGAGCCGGTTACGAGTATATATGGCGGCGCCATGCACTATAACTCACACTCAGTTATCCAGTCCGACTTCTTCCGAGAAGAGTTCGTTAATCCATTAAATTTGAAATATGTTTTTACGGGTGGCCAGTGGGCGGAGAAGTCCCGTAAGCCAGCTAAACCCGCTCACATTTAGATAAGTGCCTTGCGCTGGGGTAACGTCGATGTGTCAAGTCTGGGTTCAAGCTCCTCGAGAGCTGCCAACACAAATCAGAAGGCAAAGGACTTGCTTTCACCTCTGGCATTTTAAAGTACATATTTTTCTATTCCAAAGGAACCTTGCTTTAACTTTAACTTAAACTTTACCAAAATAAATTTAGTTATCAGAATAAAAGAAAATTATTTTTTTGAATATTAAATTCTAGAAAATAATCTAATAACCTTCTTAAAAAAAATACTCTAAAATAGGCTTTTCTTCACATTTCCTAAAATTCAAATTTTCCTCAGTTTATCCCCGAAAATATCCGGTTAGTCTGTCCCTAAAATTATGCAATTGTTTTGGCCACAAGCACCCACAGAAGCGAGACCCTTAAACTCAAACACAATGATACGACAAGAGGATGGGCAATGCCGGCGCCACTTTAATGGCATTCCACAGTGGGACATTTCATTTGCAGCTAACTCAGAAAAATGAAATAGAACTGGGACACTGACATTACGAGGCAAACCCCTAACCCAAAAGCGTGTCCTTGCCACAAAACGAGCCAGTGGCTAGCAATTGTGAAAGCACTTTGAATTCCGCCAAGCCACAAATATTCGTAGAGTCTTGTTTATAGCGTGTTTTCACTTTTAATATTTCGTGTAAATGGGATTATATTGGATCTTTTGTGCTCTAGAACTATTAATTAATTGGGGTTTTTAGAAGGAATGTAAACTTGAATAGTGCCAGAACTATAAATTCACTTAAATTATTAAGTAGATGCCCGTTTCTTAGCTCTTTTTCATGTCGTGCCAAACTCTTTTAGTTGAGAATTTAATATAACTTAGTGTGTATAACGTTAGGAGCCAAGTTTATCATCATGTTCAGCGTCAACGAGACGTGACAACTGCCAGCATCTTTAATGCTCCCGTTAAGCAATACAAAATATTTTTATGTGCCCCACCGTACTTGGGGCAAACCACCCACTGTGCGCCGGATGGGTTCTGTTCCGGGCTCGCGTCCATTCAAGGACATGGCTGGGCACCGCTCTATAGAACGGCATCCGGGTGCTCAAGAGCCCTGGTGTTCGGAGCAGCTCCTCGACGCCGCTCTAGTCATTCGTAGATGGCCCTGGCAATGGCAGAGTGCTCCACTTCCATTGCCACTCTGCTGGCGACCCGCTGCCGCGACTCCCAATCCACTCGCTTTTTCTGGCTTTTTCCTCTGTCAGCACTTGGCACCCACTTGTTTTGTATTTTGTTTTACGCTGCACCACCCACACATCGGTGGCTCACAGAGAGAAATGTGCATCAAAAAATAAACAGACTATGGATTACAGGCAAAAATAATAGCTTCATGGAAAGCTGTAATTAAACTTTTCGATTATTTAAAAAAAAAAAGATATGAAAATTAACCCCTTTGAAGATAATTTTATACCTTTGTGGCTTAGTAAATTTATTTATTTATAATCATATCCAAAAGTATCAGAAAACACACGAAGAAGATCTATATTTTGTTAAGAAAATCTTTAAATTTTAGAAGTTCCCAATTGCATTTTTAATATAGTTCTATTTTACCCTCAGTTAAAATGTTAATGCTTTATAGCATCTTGTTGAATTTATTTTTTATATTTATCCTTTCTGCTTGTCCAAAATTTCCCTTAGTGCATCCCCCCAAGCGCAGTTGATGTGTGTGTCTCTCTATGTCTGGCTGGAATGCATTTATTTCCGTTGTTTCCTTTTCGGTTGCGGCTTTATTGTTGGCCTCGGTGTGCTGGAATTGTCATGTAAATGGGTTAAGTTCTGACATTAAAATGTTCTCGCAGAGATTTTTCAGTTGTGCTCTTGCTTTGACGTTTGGCCAAAATGATTTCCCATTTTCAGACAGCCACATTCATAGTCCCTGATCCCTGCCCAGCCCCTCGGTCCTGGGTCAACCGGGTTATTCATTAAAACCAAAGCCGAGCAATTCCTGCAATTTGCGGCCAACGGCCATAAAGAGATTTGCTGCATTTGTTGATAATTGCATTTTGGCCATCGGTCTGTTTCGGTCAGGCCTTTGAGCTTGGGCATTCATTTTATTAAAACTTTTAGCCCAGACAGCAGCAACGAGATTACCACAAAATCTAAGATAAAATAATATGAATCTGGCCCAGTTTGCTTGGATTGTCATAAATGGAGGGAATTTAGGTTTCAGCAGTTGGGAAAAAAGGAATTATAAAGAATAAAGAATGTTTTTTAATTTGAATTTGAACTTATACAAATTAATACAAAACATAGGCAATCGAACCTCTTGAAATTGATAAATATTTAAGATAAGATAACCCTATTATTATATCTTAACTATTTTATCTTAGTGTCACAGTTGTTCTTTTGCATTGCAATTAAAGTTGAGACTGCCTTGACACTGACATCATCCCATTAGACCTTTATGATAATGACAGTTACGATAAAATTACAGCTAATTTAAGCACATTTAAGTAAACCATATTTTGCTTGCAGATCTAGTTAGATAATGGCGACAGATGTCATACATTTAGCTGTTTATCTTATCAGTCATGCTAACTTTACATTCATTATTTGTTTTCTTGGAGCTTAAAAAATTAATAACTTTATGATGTTATATTAAATTAAATTGTCAATCGAAACTTAACAATACCTATGTAATATCTATCTAAATTGTAATCATAATTAAGGGCGTTTCCAAAGATTATCACTTAAATAGTATAAAAAAGGCACAACTTCTGACGCTGTAACCTGCTGTTGCAATTTAATTGCATGCAGATCGGAGTGAATACAAAACAAAACTAAAAACAATGGCAAATTAAAACTAAAGTACAAAACGGCGCCCAACTTTGTTGAAATCGTGCTAAGCGCAGCACATTTCGAATTGGCCATTGAACTTTCATATCAAAACGGCGGCAGCGGCGGCGAAAATGGTTTTTAAAATGCTTAAACACGCGAGACCCAACAGCCGCGCCCCATCATAATTGGAAAAGTCTGTAAGAATCGCACATGAATGGTTGTATCCATACACACATAGTACATATGTATATATATATAGTACAGTGTGTGCTCTCCTACCATGTGGGGGTTGGGGGGAAAACAACTTCCGTTAGCAGCTGATAGGCCCTTTCCCGGCTTCGTTCTGCACTTCCCCGGGCAGTTGTTAACAACTTGGCGCGATTCACAATGGGAAAGTGGAAAGTGCAGTCGCCGTGGTTAGGAGTTCGTGGGCTTTAAGCACAAGTGATTAGCCCAGTGCATGGAACCCATCGGAAATGCGGTCAATTAATATACATGCGAAATAGGGTAATTTTCTTTAAACTCTACAATTGTAGCTACTACTCTTAGAACTTGAAAGGAGACTATAAAAAAAAACCTAAAAAATAGGTCGTTCATAGTTGTCTAATTAACAAATATAATTAAAAATAGAAGAGGCTTGTAAATAACAAAGAATTTATCCCTAAAAGTGGCTTGATTAAGCACTAAATTATATTTTACATTTTATATTCTTTTTAAAATAGATAATATACATGTGTGAACAATTTTTTTAAGTTTTAGATATAGTTAAGTAGAAGATATTTATAAATATATAATGAATAAATATGAAAATATAACAAAATATTAACAAATTAAATGAATACTTACTATGGACCTAATTATATCTAAATACAAGTATTAATAAATTCATGTTCGAAAGACATGCCAGGTTCATGTTTCAAAAACTTTATAAATTGTGAAGTCTTCTCATCAATCCCTGCTATTAATTTTTTCGAGTGTATTTCTGTTGTCTTTCTGTGAATGGGGAACATTTTGTATTTAAGCTGAAACAAAATTTGGGACATGAAGATAGCGAAACCAGTAAGCAATAAATGTCAAAGCTGTGGAAATTTTAGCAAACAGTTTGTCCCACGAAGTGACTGAGTGCAGATGTCTAGAGAAAGAAAGAATTTCAACTGTGATGGCCAGATAATATAGAATTTTCAAGGATTTAAATAACATATAAACAATGCAAATTAATGTAAAAAATTTACAATTTTATTTATAAATCAATACGTAGAAGGATAAGCAATGTCTAATATCCATTTTAACTTCTTTTACAGGTTTCTAACGCTACGAATAGCTCTGTAAAATGTAAGTTATAGTCCACTATCAACTAAATGTGGAATAAAATGAATGAAACACTCATTCAACTGATATCGAAGTCCAGTTCCACATGAGCGTATATCTGAGTATATACCGCGTATGGACGCATAGGGGCAGCCACTATGATAAAAACATAATATGAATATATATATATTTATATACGATTTCAGAGCTCGTTGCGTAGCAGCCCGTACGCCCCATTGTCGTCCGTCCCGCCCTGGCCCGCCCCCCCGCCTCCGTCCCACCCCTTCCGGTCCGCTCTGCGTGAAAGCAAATCAGAAATCGAGGCAAACGGAGTAAAAAATGAATAAGTCAAAACCGCAAAATCAGTAAAACGCTCGCGAAGCACACACACACACAGTGAGTGGTGAGCTGGGTTCACGGAGGAAGCCCGGCGTAGAATAAAATATCGAATGAAATTAAAATACCAGAGACCCCATAGAACCCGAAAGAAATCCGCAGCAGCAGCAGCAGCGGAAATTGCAGTTGCAGCAGCAGCAGTAAAGGCAACTCAAGTTGTACCGAGATCCTGCAAATAGAATGAAGTTCAACTACATTGGTCTCGGCACGCACAGCGGAATCGTCAACGGTGGCAGCGGGAGCGGCGGGAGCAGCACCATCGGCAGCAAGATGTCGCTGGGCAAGTCCATCAAAATGTACCTGACCATTTTCATAGCCACCACCTGCATCTACATGGTGCTGTACCAGTACCACATATCCCGCGAACCCTTTGCCGCCGGCGAGGTAGTCAAGGTGAGTCGGGAGACAAGACAATTCTTATCTTCTTTTATAAATTTTGGGGGCTATTTTATCCGGATGATATGATTTATGAATATTAATTATAGGATCTACATATATGAGGTTTCATTGCAGTAAAGAAATGAGATCATTTTGTTTAAGAACTGAATAGTTAATTTAATTTTAAATGTTTCATTCAGTTTATAGAATTTATTAACACAATTTCAAGCTCTGGCAATCTTTTACAAATAGAAAATGCTCTTAATTCCAACCTACATTATATTTTAATCCAACCTTTTCCTCTTTTGATGTGATGTATTTTGTTCTCCTCCACTTTGAGTTCTTTGACCAGTTTGTGATCCTCCAATTAGATAGAGTTTCTTAATTAATTAAATGAGCAATCGATATCCCCTTTTAAATGAACGCACTCTTTCCATCTCTCTACTTGCACATTTCATTTACATTTTGACCACATATATGTGACATTTATATGTTATGCCACCCATTATTTAAGTGTCAAGGTAATCGGTTAATACAAATATAATCCAGTTGGTCAATAATTAAATAAGTATCAGGCGCCGTCAAGGTAGCTGTATTTAGTGGATATAATAAAGGTCTTTTACCCTCTAAAGATAATTGAATGCTATCTACTTTTTTAATTAATAAACTGTGTCGAAATTGGTTTTCCAGTCATTTCAATTTTGATAAAAGTCTGGGATTTCAAGCAAACGTAGATAACTGAATGGATTGTTTGAAACCTAAACTAAAGTCGTGGGAAACCAGCAAACTAAGAATAGGTGCAATCGTAGTTACTCAAATTTTGTTTGGTAAAAAGTAGCAATGAGTAATTTGAACTTTCTACAAGCGGTGATAACACAAGAACGTTGTAGTTGAGGAAAACCCAAACATAACATCGTACGACACAGGAAACTATACGTGTTTTGAAAAACATTTCTTCTTTTTTTTTTTTTTGTTTGCACTGCGAAAAAAATTCTACCGTATAAAAGCACGAAATTGGGCCAAAAATGAGTACCTTATGTAGATTTCAGTTAAACGTACTAACAGTAAATTAAACCAAAAATGGAATTACTAAAATTTCTTTGTTAGGTTAGATGACATATGCAAACCATCCTGCCTGACTTTAACTACTAACCTTAGATTTTGTACTACACATATTGTAATGTTTTCTGTGTGTTCTTGTTCTATTTCCTTTAACCCCATTATTAATCCAATAATCATTGCCAACTGAACTCGACTCGACTAGCACCAAGAGAAATCATCGTCATATATCGCCTCATATTTGTGGTCACCCATTTCCCTGCTACTGGCCAATAGCTCCTCCAACAACAATAACAATTCCACACCAACAACCACAACAACATCAACTACAGCTACAACAATAAGAACAACAACAACAGCGGCCACAGTGGGCAGTGCGGGCGAAAAAGTGGGTGCATCATCCACCTCCCTTCAGACGGTTTCATTAGCTGCCCCCAAGCCCACACTCCACACATCCTATGGAACGGCTCTGCTGAGATCAGGATCCGTGGGTGGCCATCGTAAGACTGCAACTACCAAACAAAGCATTACGCGAACAGCAACTAAACTAACAACAACGGCAACAACTATGGCCAAAACAAGCGCCAAACAGTCCGCACAGACGGCCACGCCCGCCACGACCGCCCTCTCGGAACACGCCCACAAGACTCGACCAACATTCGTTGCCGCCTCCGAGCCCGTAAATATATTGACGTAATCGTAATCCTAGCACCTCCACCACCTCTCCCTGCTCACCTACTAGACACTGGGCAAAAAATAAGTTGCAAGAATTAGTTACAGAATTTAGGATTTGCTTTGCTTCATCTTAATAATCAAAAATTTAATTAATACAAAATATTATAAAAATATATATTCAAATATTCATATTTTGAGTCAAAAAATATCCAAAAACAAATGAATACTTACATCTAACTTTGCTCAAGTTCTTCTTGATTTGCATAGCTATTTTTTGGTCAGTGTGCTCAAGTTTACAAGTACCACAACTAATCACACTTACTATGTGTAAAACCCTTATTCTTTCCACATTTCCCTTATTCTGTTTTAATCTTCGGAAGTGCATTTTCAAGCTTATCTGCATATTATTTTCACTTGTCGTGTGCATGTCAGTACCAAGTGTTGTGTGTTGAATGTCGAATGTTTGTGGGGGTTGCTTGTCATTATTCGAGAACCGAATGTCACACTTGTTGCCTGCCCCAATACTTCATTAGTTAAATACTCCCATGCTCATTTGCGAACTGCTGCTGGCCCATCATTATCGCTTTTCTTACTCGGCGTTTCCATTTTCCTAATTGCCATGACACAAGTGCAATGCATGCCAGACCCTATTCCGTTGAACATTAGTAGAGAAAGGTAGTAGAGTTGCTCCTATAGATGTTGTGGGGTTTTAATATTATTACTATTATTTTATATACACTTGCAGGTTAATGTAATTTTTGTCAGAAGCTTAAAAAAGAGTAAAGGGGTCATTTCCAACCCTATAAATCGTAAATATTCTTGGTCAGAAAAAACCTAATATAGAAAAGCTTTCCGAAATTTAAGTAATTTTTGACTTAGTTGTGATAGATTTTTGATTCAATGCCTTGATCCTATGGCAAACTGCAAGTTTATACAAATTTCGGCTTCCCGAAGTAAGATTTCTTTCTAGTTTATTATAGTACTAAACTTTTTTAAGTGGCTACTTTACTTCTCTTTAATTTTAAAGTCACGTCTGCCTTTGAAGCAAGCACACTTGTCTATATATTTCTTACGGGTTTTATCTTTGAAACTTGCATTTTTTAAATGCACTTGTTGGCATAAAAATTCATTATAGTCATTCAGTCATTCAGACTAAAAGCCACGTTTTTTTTTTAAATCTGCATTTAAAGTCATTATAAATATCCATGACGCTCCTATAATGAATTGCATATTTTGCAATTATTATTAAAACTAACTGCAATCTGGACCAAAACTAGCTGATAAATGTATTCTACATTTACCAGACAAGCTTTGCCACTCGGACGTTAATTATGGACTCGGACTCGGACGTTATTCTAAATGGGAATATATAACGAGCCGACTCCGACAAACGCAAAGCAAACACATGGCAAGAGGACGCTGTTTGTCTAACCAACTTTTGTTGGCCACTACCATGTGCAAATTGGTTGCCGGCTATCCGTATCACGATTTCTGGGTTAATCACATGCATTATATTAACCAACAGGCGCCCTAACTGCGGGCGTGCCGCCACTGCAAACAAAAAGAGTCTCATTTGGCATTTGCATGAGCCTAATTTGAAAATTGCTCAGCCGCACACACACGCAGAACGCAAGACCCGAAACCGCATTCAGCGACCACTAAAGTGTATAGGAAAATTACTAGCATTGAAAGCGGCGGCCGCAGAATGGGTATGGGTGGTTTGTGATCTAGATTCCAGATTCATGCAAAACACACAAAATGCCAGCCAATTGAAAAGATTCACGCGCATCTGTTGGCTGCTGTCATTTAGTAAATGCAACTACTAGTAGCGATCCCAATGCCCTGCACTACTCAATGTCAGAGGAGGAGCTCATTCGTAATGGGATAAGCCTGATAGAAGATCTTTTATGACTTTCAGATCCCTCAAACTGTGTTAGTTTTTTTATAATATGATTTCTAGGAAGTTGATCTTAAATCATTGCTTTTCAAATAGATTTATAATATAACATAAAAATCGCTACTGGTATGAAATCCTTAAAAGAGGTCCTTAAAAAAGATTTAGGATTACGATTAAAGCTGAACAGATTTTATTACATACTTTTAGATACACATTTATTGAGATTTTGAAGCCTGTAGAAAAGTTTTTAGCACCCCAAAGGTTTTTATTTAGTTATATGACTGTCAGACTAGATAAAATTTAAAATATATTTTAAATCCTTGAAGTTTATTTAGAAATTTGTTCACAGCGATAATTTATAACTAAAATAAACAAAATAGAATGCTACGAATTCGCAATCAAAGTAAACTAGAGTGTTTTCGGTGCTAGATTTTTCAATCTCAATAAGTTTCTACTGCAGATATTCAACAAACGATTATTTACCTTTATAAAAAACCTCATAATAAATAAAGTGTAAATATTATTGTTGCAACGCTTTAACTTTTACTGACTTGAAAGAGGACTAGCATGCCAATTGACTATCCTATCTTTTCTTGCTTAAATATTCGAGTATGTTTTGCGGAATAAATTTGAAAGCTGGGTTTATTTTCCTCCTTCTTGCATGTGGTGGGTGTGGGCTGTGGGTGTGTATGTGTGTGTGTCAACAATGGACAATTTGCAAAGTGAGTGCGCCAGTTTATTTATTTTCAACGTCAGTCGTTCAATGGGACAGGCTTTACACGAACATAGCCTATATCTAGAACGGGTGCTTAAAGCAAGTGTGTTGGTGAGAGAGCACTCGGAAAAAATTGGTTACAATTCCCATGGATTTTTATAGATTTTTAGTTAAATTTTATATTTTCTTTGATAGGTTTGAGAATTAAATAATTGAATTAAATACATTTGTATAAAGAATTTGTATTGCATACCTTTGAGCATTTTTCAGCTCATTCTGTGAGCATTTTAAAGGATATGGAGATCCTTGGAAAAGTCAGCAGAAAATGTAGACTTGTATTTGTAATTTTCCTAATGTCATTGAACATTTTTTCCTGAGTGTCTTTGACTAGCGAAACGCGACCCATATTGCCATAAAGCCAGAAGAGCCTAGCTAGACGACAGACACACTGACTTACGGGTATACGAAGAGCGGGATGTGGTCTGCTCGCCTAGTCAAGCCATTGGGTTGTAAATTAATTTGCATAATTGCTCATAAAAAGAAGCTCACGCCGCATTACGCACCACCCACTGGCACCTAACGAGCCACCCTGCCGCCCAACCACTCAGCCACCCAACCCCACAACCTCCCACTAACCAGCACAAGTGCAGGGCACTCGGCCCTTGGTACACGCGGTACACTCAGGTGGATATTCCAATGACACTCAACCGAAATCCACTTGTCCCGCAGCCGCCCCTGTACATAATCACGCCCACCTACCGACGACCCGAGCAACTGGCGGAGCTGACCCGGCTGGGCTACACGCTGAAGCATGTGGTGAATCTGCTCTGGCTGGTCATTGAGGATGCCAACCACACGAATCCATTGGTGGCCCACACGCTAGACAGAATCGGAGTTCCCTATGAGTATATGGTGGGTAAGTATTGTCCGCTGCTGTTCCGTTCCGTTTCATGTCCGGGACACATTCAAGTGATATTTACGAGTTGCCTCCTCCTACCCACAGCTCCCATGCCGGAGAAATACAAGCAAACGAAGCGAGCGAAGCCGCGCGGTGTCTCCAATAGGAATCGAGGCCTCGAGTATCTGCGCCACCACGCCAACGAGGGCGTGCTCTACTTTGCCGACGACGACAACACCTACGATATTAGCATATTCGAGCAGGTAGGATTGACTATGTACATACTATATGGGTTAAGGATGGGACCTGAATCCTGATGGCAAACCGCAGGTGTGCGAGTACCTTCAGGCTTGAGCATAAACCAAAATTAACACGAGTTATGGGGTTAATGGGAAACCATTTTGTATTAATGAAGGGAATATATCTTGTGTTTTTTTAAAGCGATAAAATAGGGAATACTTCAGTTCTAATTTGTAAAATTTACTTATTTATTTAGTTTTTATTTTAACTTACACATTGCTTCTTAATCTATCCTTTGTCCAGATGCGCTACATCAGCAAGGTGGGCATGTGGCCCGTGGGTTTGGTGACCAAGACCGGAGTAAGCAGTCCCATTATCCAGGAGGGAAAACTGGTGGGCTACTATGACGGCTGGATTGGTGGGCGCAAGTATCCTGTAGATATGGCAGGCTTTGCGGTCAGCGTCAAGTTCTTGAAGGAGCGCCCCAATGCCCAGATGCCCTTTAAGCCGGGCTACGAGGAGGATGGCTTCCTGCGTAGCCTGGCGCCGCTGGACAACACGGACATTGAGCTGCTGGCCGACGAGTGCAGAGATGTGAGTGATACAGCTTAACTTACATCGAAATTCAAATCTAATTTCCTTACAAACCGCAGATTCTCACGTGGCACACGCAAACCAAAAAGAATGCCCCAGCGCAGGCGCTGAACAGGACGCGTTACAAGAACACCAACCTGGAGCACATAGACAAGCTGCTGGTGCGCCCATAGGGATAATGTCTTTAGTTAGCTAAAGCTAGTTAGGCTTAGTCGGGGGATATGCCCATCCCCATCTCAACCGTGGCTCAGACAGGTTGTACAGGTACAACCTGGGGCAAACGGAGCAACCAATCAGATTTAATCAGATCAGCGGTAGTCGGTGTACATTATTACCCAAATCATACGAGTAGTTAGGCTCTAAGCGCACAATCTTCTACGATAATTGCAATTACGCGCACCTTACGCTTGTTTGACCCCATACACGTAATCACGCCTAATCGTATCCTAAGCAAACGTATTGTATCATATCGCAACGTCCTCGACTAGTTTGTACATAATCGCAATGCACTAAGTTTGTTTGAAACGGATTTCTCAGCCGCAAAAGTGAGCTCCAGCAACGAATTGGTTAAGATGTTCCTAGAGACCAAAGAAAAACTCCCAACTCACGTTCTGCATTCCACATTCCCCTTGGAGGTGTCCATCATCATCATCATCAACGGCCAGGGCCGCGCGAGGTCAAGGCCTGAGTCACATACATCAACAATCAATTAGGGCAAGGTGTCAACGAAAACGTATTTCCCCGAATTGGGAGCCGGCGCCAACGCTTCAATAATTCATGCCGACGTATGGATGTGGCACAGATATGTATGCCGACGGGGGCCCCCTTTCCCCCATTTGGGAATCCAAATCGCGTGATGGACAGGTATTGCATGCCATGCCAGGGGACACAGTTTAAACAATGTAATGGCTCCGTCTAATGGAACTGGATGATGGCTCAAAAGTTTTGGCTAAATCAATGTTACGGCAAGCCGTGCGATTTTCGTTGAACGAGAACTCCTTTGTATGGCCAAAGATCTACGACGTGTTATTTCGGAAACGGGTTTCCAAGGCCACACCTCTTCATATTACGCCTAAGTACGCTAGGATAGGTTAATCACTAAATTTATATTCAAGTTTTGAACTGCACTGAAGTCGCCTACATGTAAATAATAATCACCAAAAAATATTGTAACCAAATTTTTACAAGTCCCGCTAAAGCAGGGCAGGATCGCAGGGAGGGAATGACAAATGGTATTACGAAATTTATACAATTTATACAATTGAATATGGAATATATATGAAAGCATACGGAATAAGCCGCAAAGCAATTAGTTAGGTACTTACAAAATCTTACAAGAAATATTTAAATAACAACAAAATCTGGGCTGGATTCCTACAAAAAATCAACTTAAAACTTTTCCAAAATAACTCGAAACGTTTCAATGAATACTATTGATACAGAAATACGTCTACAACTATTCTCTTATTCAAGTAAATTACAACATACAATGTTTAAGCCAGACAGTACTTGTAGCAAGGAACTTCAATCATTTTTCAAACAAAACTACAAATACCTTTCAATAAATTGATAAACATTTCTTAACAATTTTCAAAATAACCCTTAAGTCTTTATATTTAATTCCTCCCACAAAAAAGGAACTTCTTTGGATTCGTCAGAGTTTTACAGATTGATTTATTTGGAACATAATTGGAAAACTAAGTGTGGAAAAGCATAAGCATGTTGGTGATCTACACAAGGCCTGACAATGATCATATCGTCTAGTGGCTCCAGGCGGCAGCATCAATCAACTGGCTTAGAGTCCTGCAGTCGCTCGGCTCGTAAAGAGAGGCCTCAATCCTGGCAGATTTGTGAAGGCGTTGGACACCACCTTTCAGAATTCTGCCCTAGCTCGTGCGCTTTAGATCAGATACTTGGAATATTTTACGTGTATTTACCATCGCTGTTTCGGTTTGATGTCTTGATTTTTAACCATTTGTATCTTTTTTTAATACCCATGTGGATTTTCCATCGGTTGGACAGTAGAATTCTATTACGGCAGTGCTTACTAAAATAAAAACTAACTGGTGCATAATCTAGTAAGCTTACATTAAATGGCACTAATCTGGTAAGTATTTAAATATTATCTGACAAGACATTCTCGGTTTGTTGAACTTCTTTGTTATCATTTTCCTCTAAAAGAATTTGTTTACTACCAGAGGCTACTTAAAACTTAATACAGCATATTTAAGATGGATATTTAATTGAAAACTTGGTTTCTATATTTTAAAGTAACTTTTAAGATTGAGCGAAAAATATTTATCTAAATTTTACTACTTGGAACTTACTTATTTTCGTTGCGAGTAAGAACTGTCTGTATCCATAATTTGTATTAGCAGTTAATATTATTTTGTGCATTGGTCATTCGCCAAGAAAGTCGATTTATATCATAGATCAAGAGACAACATAACAAGCTTTCATGTTTAAATTAGCTCAGATGTAAAATAAACGAACTGAAAATTATGCAAAGCTTTCGAGAATGTCTAAACAATTTTTAAAACAAGTCGGGAATTCAAACTCTATATAAAACATATCTAATTTAATAATAATTGATATTTAAGTACTTGGTTACTCAATTATTAAATTAAAATAAAATTGAGATTCTATATAAAATTGCTTTCTAGACTCTTACAAATATAAATCAAGTTCGTTTTCCTTTATAAAACTAAAGTTAAACTTTCTGATCTGCAACAAAACTAGTTTTAACCTTTTTTTATGACTTGTCTTCATTGCTCAATCAAACTAATAGAAAATATAAAGATAGAAAATATATTAGATTAAAGAAAATCCTTTTTGCTCTAACTAACCCTAGATGATATCTCTTGGACCTGAATATTCATCGGTCTAACTTGAGCAAAGGAGACATGAGCTTCGCTTATGGATCCTGCATTCTACTGCGTGGTACTAAAAAGATAACTCAACATCGATGGCTGCACGTGAAAGCTTATAGTTGCCTCTTCCCACTTGGTACGAATCAGACGCTGCAACGGCGTGTTGAGCGTTGACTCCTCCTTGGCGACCACATCGTTACCACCGCTAGCGCCACTAGCAGCACCACCGCTAGCGCCACCCACACCGCCGCCGGCAGCAGCACCTCCTCCGGAGCCAGCAGATGGCGATGACAAGGTCTCCGCCTCCTTTCCGGCCGGCTTCCCGGACATCGAGGTACTCTCCGGCGTGATTGGCTGCCGCTCCAACATGACCAATGCCTGCTCGTTGTACGTGCGATTATCGATCGTCATTAGGATCTGATGACCCGAACAGCTGTAGTAGTTGACATCAAAGCGCGACTCGGCATGGTAGTTGCGCAGCAGATCCGGATTCTTGTTGAAGATTACGCCATAGTGTCCCGTGCAGCTGGTTATCCAGATGGGATAGTTGGGCGTCTTCAGACGTGAGCCCGGTTGGCGCGACTGATTCACTGCAGCCTTTTTATAAATGGGGAAAATGAAAGCAAGCCAAAAAATTAATTAAATTTTACTTGGCTAGAAGATAAAAGAACTAATTAAAATATTATTAAAATATATTAACTTACACTGGCGGATTCTATGTCCCAGAGCAAGAGACCAATCATGCAGCGCTTAAGAACTCCGTACTGTGGAACCGCCTGAAAGCACAAAACAAAAACCATTGCCATCGAAGAATCTTACCCAGCTTCTAGGCACCCACATAGCTACTTTCATCGCCCACATTGACGACTCCATTGTGTATATAGGGCGTGGCACGTCCCGTCAGCAGCAGCGTGACGATCATCAGGGAACCCTCCTCGTGGTTGCTCGACGTCAGGGGCGAGCCCTTGGAGCAGTCCAAATCGGTGCGAACTCTGCAAAGCATTTAAAAGTATTCGCCGGCCAAAAGGTAAATGTTAATGGTTAATTAGACTTATTTCTGAAAAAGGAAATGCCTTCGCACACACAGACACTTGGGGTTAATCTTACTTTCCCATGGATCGCGTGAGGACGGCGCTGTAAAGGAAGAGCAGGGTGCCCGGGGTCTCCTCCTCTGTAAACTTTAAGGCGGTTTAAATGCAAACTATTTGATCAAAAAACTGTACAACTCATAATTTAATATTTTAGATCTTACGTATTTAAAATTTCGCTTCATAAAATATTCCAGCTCCTCATTGGGGGAAAGGGTGAAAACATAAAGCTGGAACAATTATATTATTAAATATAAATTATTAATAATAAAGCCCTTTACATTTGCACTTTAAAATAATAGAAATATTCCTTTAGATTTTCAGCTTAAAAATTATTTGTTTTTTAATTTCTAATAGTTTTCCCATTATGCAATGGCATCGCACTTACCTTCTCGGTGACGGAATCGTGGAAATAGCAGGCGCTGTGGTCCACAAACACCTCATCCTCCGAAGGCAGCACCATGGTGACCTTGCCCTTGTCCGAAATGGTGCGCAGGATCTCCAGTAGCGCACAGAAGAGAGCCTCGCGCTGCATCTCCGCGGTGGCCAATAGAGGACTGAAAGGATAACACACACACAAATGCTCACAAAACAACCCACACACACATACACTCCCACTCAATTAGACCGGAAATGGAACCGGAAGGTTTAAAAAACCCAAAAGGAAACGCACTCGGTAAGCGAAGCGGCGCGGGTGGTCTTCCGGGCAAAAAGCAGATACTTGAGCACAAAACCCTGGACGACAGACAGCAGCCCTCGGGTGGCATTACGGGGCGAACGGAGGCCATAGGCCAGCTCCTCCTTGGGCGCTCCAAAGACAAAGGACGTCTGCAGCCACTCGGCCCGCATGGGAATGGCGGCGGTTCCAAAAACCAGATTCCGCAAATCCTAAGCGAAAGCATGATCAGATCGCTCCCGGTCCCGACATACTGGGATCTTCTGATTACCGTTGCCAAATCGGCGGTTATGGGCGTGCCGCCCTGCGTGATGAACTCTTTGTTCATTTTCTTTTTCTAATTAGGCACTGAGCTCCGTTTCCGCTAGGCACCTTTGCACCACTCTGCGACTCGTAGGCGAATGATTTCTCGACGAGCACGGTTTCGAGCTCTAGCTTAAGCCTCAGCCGGGATCGGAGGTAGAGGGAACGACAGACAGCCGCCATTCCAGTCAGCCAGCTCGAAGGCATTTCACACTTCAGCATGGATTTTTAATTTCATATTTAGTCGTGGGCGCACGGGGCGTATGCGCAACTAAGCAGAAGTCAGTCAGGTGGTACTAAAGGACAGTGGAGCGGATAAACGAGAAGGTAAAAAGTAAAATTAATATAAATAAAATAATACAACTATATTCTGATGAAAGAGGTTTTGATTAAGAGGTAATCACAGAAATCAAAAGCTATAAGCTATATAATATTTTTGGAACTAAATATATAATCTTTTGAAATCTTTGTAATAGGTTTTAGAGCTTCTATAGCAAAGGCTAACTGCTAAAAGGACCTTCCAAATTCCAACCCACTGTGCCTAGGCCTCGGGCTTAGGCTGAGAGGGTCGTTCGCTGTCTGTCAGTCAGCGAAAGTAACTTTAAATGAAATTGAATTGAATTTAGTTCTGTGTGCGGCACACGAAACTCGATGTATGTGGCTCAAGGAGTGAAAGTGTGATGGCGGGCTTGCGAGATGGGTGCTGGGACAGGGGAGAGAGAGAGAGAGAGGATAAAGGGACATGGGCTTGGTCATAGGTAGAATCTGGCATGTTGCAGCCTGTCAGGGGGCTCCACACAACCGGAAATATGTAGTTGACGCCCATTTGTGCCTATTTCGGGGCAGGAACAGCTGTACTACTTACCTGAGCCTTCGTGTGTGTATTACTGGGTGTTAATACTCCAATGATACACCCGGAAAGACATTCCAGAGCGGCCACCGCAGTATTGTTCAGGCGTTATTTTTTTAAATTTAGACAGCACTCGTCGTGTTTCATGCTCTCCGATTGATTTGTTGAATTTTTGGGAGGGCCTAAATGGAAGTGAAAGTGGCCCAATAACTGGCTGATTGGCTGTCTGGCTGGTTATAACCTTGGGCAAGTCACCTGCAATTTTATTAAAGTTCCAGACGTGGCATGCACACTTGAACTTAATACCGCATTCGGGAGGGATTTGCAAAGTCTCGAGGGGATTGAGGGAGTGATCATTACCATTAGGGTAGCAAAGGGAAGGTTTAAAGGACTTTAAAGGATATTGTTTATACTGTTCAACGAGTTGTTGTATTATTATTTATATTTATTTCCACCCTTTTCTTATATTTATGACTATATCCTTAAATACAAATCGGTTATAAAATCCTACACCAACTGAAATAATAACCCCATCACAACTTTCAATTATTTTACAACTCCTCAATGAAATCCAATAATAGCCTCTATAAAAAATATAATTTTTCTATTACAAAAATTTTAGAATGATTTAAATAGAGTACTTTCAATACCTGAATTTTCCTATAAAAACACATATTAAAACTTAACTTTTAGGAGTACAAAGGGCATTGGTGATTCAGGGACTCATCTCAGCATATTTGGGTCTGTTGGTGGTGTCAACATATCGCTCATCACGGTCCTGGCCGAGGCAGGAGCACGACCCATTAGATAAAGAACATTAAAATACCAATCCAAAAGACGCAACTTAAAGGCAGACACAAACAGACAGTATTCAAAGTAAATGCGACGCCTCAGCCATCGGATGTACTGCACCGGCGAGCGACGACTGTGCTGCATGTAGAGGCACTTTTGGGCATAGCGAGCCATGACTTGGGGTCGATTTACCACGTCTCCATGATGGTGGCTTATCGCCCGAACGGTGTTGAGGTTGCGCACCTGAAAGATAAGATTTAGGATTATATTTTTAGGGTAAAAATTATAAATCAAAGTACAAGTCCTTCGAGTAATTCTTACCACAAACAACATACTCCTGGGCATCTCCTTGAGGGTGCCCATAATATGCTCAAAGTTCTTCCTGGCTATCTCTTGCATGTGATCGATATCCTCCTGCGAAAGCTTTCCCCGGATACGGCCGCCTCGAATCCGAATGGGCTGCTGAAAGAGAACCTCGGCAAAGCGCATGGAGTCGGCTATTCCAATCTTCTCGGCGGCCGACTGCATCTTGGCCTCGTTGCGCAGCACAGTGGCCTCCCAAAATTCACAGAGCGGGCCACGGACATTTTCGGGCAGCTCCTCGTACAAACCATGGTCCAGGAGAATGATGTCCGCTCGCCCAGATTTGGGATTTCGTCGCACAAAGACTGGAAATATGGGAAGTTAGCTGTTTTTTTTTTAAAGAAATATAAATGAGATGACTTACTGTTCCCAGGATGTGGATCGGCATGCACGAAGCCCGTGTGGAAGATCTGTTCGGCAAAAGTATCAAACAACTTGACATCGATGTCCTTTAAGCTGAGCTTCTGGGCTTTTATGGTCTTCAGATCGCTGATCTTGCACCCGTCTATCCACTCCAGGGTAAGGACACGCTGAAATAGGCAACCAATAACATACACTGGTCGTTAAAATAATAGGTATATCCTCACCGTTTTTGTATGCGACCAGTGGACCTTGGGAACATGCACGTAGCTGAACTTCTTCATGTCCCTGGCGCATCGCTCGGCATTGTGGCCCTCCTGCACAAAGTTCAACTCCTGCACCAGATTCTTGCGCAGGTCATTCAGGATCCAGCCAAAGTTGTAGTCCTTAAAGATGAACTCAACAATGTCCTGCAGGAAGATGATGGTTCCCAGGTCGCTGACGAAGCGCTTCTGCAAATCGTTGTACTGCACCTTGATGGCCACCTGTTCGCCGCTGGACAACTTGGCTTTGAACACCTGCGCCAGGCTAGCGGCCGCCACAGGCTGGTAGTCAAACTCCTGGTAGATCTCCTCGGGCAGCTGGCCAAAGTCCTTGCGGAATACCTTCTGCACATCTGCCTTGCTGGTGGGCAGGCAGCTATCCTGCAGCTGGGACAGCGTGCTGGTGTACTCCACGGGCAGGATGTGGTTAATGGCGGCGAATCCCTGACCCACCTTGATGTACAAGCCGCCGTTCAGCAGGCACGTCTCCAGCAGGCGCTCGGCGCTCTTCTGGTGGATGGCCTTCAGCTTCGTCTCGTACTCCGCATCGTCCTCCTTCAACTGCATGTAATCGGCGGCTATCAATCCGGCGGTTTTCAGGGAGCGAACAAAGCGGACGGAGGCGCCGCAGTATGTAAAGTCGTTGACGATGCCGTCGTAGCCCAGGGCACCGCCGCCGGCCGCCAGGAGAGCCAGCCGCACCAGGGGAAGGCCATTCTTCGGAGCCCGCTCTGAGGTTCCCGCACTGAGTTGTCGGACCTGGTTTCTGCTGCCCAGGCTTAGCAGCCGTCGCACACGCTACGGGGACAGGTTGCCGGGGTTAGCTTAACAGATTTAATCCAATCTCAGCGAGTCTCACCTGGAAATGTCGCATTTTTCCTCCGCCCGCTGCAGTCTCCTGATCAGCTGTTGGGACCACCTGTGGATACGCATCAGCTGTTTGAGAGGTCGGTAACAAGGTGCAAGATTCTATGCTGAACTGCTTTACCGACCGGGTCTTTAGGGTCACGATCTGGTACTTTTGGTCTCTGGGACCGAAAGTACCAGATCAAAAAAATGGCGATTTCGATATCATTTTCAGGGAAAATATCGATGTTTTGATAACATTAATGCCAACATCGATGTTCTTTCACCTCTAGGAGAGCTCAGAAATTCTGTTACTGCGATTCCATAGACAAAATTCTGTTAGCCTCTCATTAACAGAAAATTCTGTTAACTGAAATTCAGAGTGACCAAGGAGAAAATAACAAAAAATATGACGGAAAATATCGCGATTTCGGTATAATTTTCAGGGAAAATATCGATAATATTATCGACAACAACAAAAACCCAGACCATTTTAGAATCTTTTTTCCAAACAAACCGAGGCGGCGCCTTTGAAGTCCATTTACAAGTGCAGCAATTGTTTACATTGGACCCACCCACGCGACGCGACGCGGCCAACGAACCAGAGACAAGGCAGCTCCACTCCACGCGCTAAAGTCGACAGGATGTCGGGCACCATACTGGAGAACCTGAGCGGCCGCAAGCTGTCCATATTGGTGGCCAGCCTGCTGCTGTGCCAGGTGCTGTGCTTCCTGCTGGGTGGTCTTTACGCCCCCCTGCCCGCCGGCCATGTGACCGTGCTGGGATCGCTGTGTCGCGAGGATCACACCCGTCAGAACGACACCGGCTTCCTGCTGTACTCGCGCGGGGCTGGCGCCTGCACTCCGGTGGTGCGGGAGGAGGTGGAGCGGGACCCCATGAAGATGGCCAACGAGCTAGTGCACGTGTTCCAGATGCCACTGCCGCGCGAGCAGCGCGACCTGGACTACTCCCGCTGGCAGCAGAATCTTATCGGGGTGCTGCAGGTGGAGTTCGGCTACGACTCCTCGTCGGAGCTGCGCGAGCCGCCACGGGAGCTGCAGTTGACCATTGATATACGCCTGGCCTACCGCAACAAGGGAGATCCTGCCAATGCCTGGAAGTTGTACGCACATGGAGTGGAACACCGATACCTGGACTGTGTCACCGCTCATGTGGGTTCCACGGAGACGCTGTACTCCTGCGACATGATCCCGCTGTTTGAGCTGGGCGCCCTGCACCACAGCTTCTACCTGCTGAACCTGCGCTTCCCGCTGGACACGCCGCGGCAGATGAACCTGCAGTTTGGCCACATGCACGATCTCACGCTGACGGCTATCCACCAGAATGGAGGCTTCACCCAGATCTGGCTGTTGCTGAAAACGGTTCTATTTCCCTTTGTGGTGGGCATCATGATCTGGTTCTGGCGACGGGTCCACCTGCTGCAGCGCTCGCCGGCTCTGCTTGAGTACATGCTGATCTATCTGGGAGGCGCCTTGACCTTCCTCAATCTGCCGCTGGAGTACCTATCCCTGGCCGTGGAGATGCCTTACATGCTGTTGTTGAGTGACATCCGCCAGGGCATCTTCTACGCCATGCTGCTCTCCTTCTGGCTGGTCTTTGCCGGCGAGCACATGCTCATCCAGGATGCGCCCAACAAGTCTACCATCCGATCGCGCTACTGGAAGCATCTCTCTGCCGTGGTGGTCGGCTGCATCTCCCTGTTTGTCTTTGACATCTGCGAGAGGGGCGTGCAGCTGCGCAATCCCTTCTACTCCATTTGGACCACTCCACTGGGCGCCAAGGTGGCCATGACTTTCATCGTGCTGGCTGGATTATCCGCGGCTATATACTTCCTCTTCCTGTGCTACATGATCTGGAAGGTGTTTAGGAACATAGGGGATAAGCGCACCTCGCTGCCATCCATGTCTCAGGCCCGGCGACTGCATTATGAAGGTGAGTTTTTGAACATTTTTTTTTAGAAATTTAGCTCTCTAAATAGTTTACGTTTTTTGTCTCATTTATCTTTTGTAGAAGTCCAGCTCCTTCCTAGTATGTTCCCCACATATTTCTCATATATTTGTTCAAAGTAAATATCTTTTTTCTAATTTCAGGTCTCATTTATCGATTTAAATTTCTAATGCTGGCCACCTTGCTGTGCGCCGCTCTGACCGTGGCCGGTTTCATCATGGGTCAAATGGCCGAGGGCCAGTGGCAGTGGAATGAGAACGTGGAGATCCAGCTGACATCCGCCTTCCTGACCGGCGTCTACGGCATGTGGAACATCTACATCTTTGCCCTGCTCATCCTGTACGCACCCAGCCACAAGCAGTGGCCGACCATGCATCACAGCGACGAGACCACGCAGTCCAATGAGAACATTGTAGCCTCGGCTGGCAGTGAGGAAATCGAGTTCAGTCACCTGCCCTCCGACTCAAATCCCAGCGAAATCTCATCCCTGACCTCGTTCACCCGCAAGGTGGCCTTCGATTAGGCAAACGCTTTTTATTTTGGGTTGTGTGCCAAGCGGAGATCCGATCCCCGATCCGATTTTGCCAGCACTGCAAAGCTATCCAAGCTTTACGTGTGTGCTCATTTTATTAGCATTTTAGATTTTAGTCAGTAGCATTGCATTTCTTGCCTAGTTTTTCAACAACAACAACAACGCGATCAGCATTATTTTCTTGACCTTAATTATATATATATTATTGTGTAGGTTCTCTCTCAGCATGCTCAAAGTGTTTACGATTTTATCAATTGTATTTTATCGGCAGTATTATCTAATGAAGTCCATTTTGCTAGCTCCTAAGTCTTTACATATTTATATAAACACATTTTATACAAGCATTAAGGTGGTTATCTGTACTTAAAATTCATAAAAAAAATGCAACTACAATATTTCTTTTACCTTGGATTTCAAATCTAAGATGATTTTTCACGTCCAATATCAAATCAGTCAGCCGAAAGCCAATAAATCCTTACGATTTTACATTTATAAACTAACCACCTTAATAATTAATATCAAATAGAATCTCTGCTCTGATTTTATAACAAAAAGTAGAGGGATTTCTTACTCAAGTAGCAATGCATCGAATAAAAAGCAATATTGAAAATGCCAACACGTTTTTTATTTTAAAATTTAAATTTACAAGGAATGTTTTCAGTTACCAGATGATCCTCTGAGGAGTGCGATAGTTCTGCCAATAAAACTCCTTTGTGAAGTATATGTAAAATGTGGCCACATTGAGCAGTAGGTGGACGCCCAGTTCCAGCCACTCGGCCAGGCCCTTTCTCGTGTGCCGCGTGTTTAGTCGGAAGAGGATGTAGGGCACCAGAAAGTAGCGCAACTCTAGAAGCCGCTGGAAGCACAGCACCAGCACCAGGCTGAGGGGAAACATAAGCTTGAAACTGTCCGGCATGTGACGCAGTCCGCAGAAGAGCACACAAATGGCGAAAAGGTAGACCGGGGCCATGGCATAGCGGAACCACCAGAAGCGGCCGTAAAGCCGGCTCCACGCATAGAAGGTGTAGTGCCTGTTGTCAGCTAAAAGATAAGGATGCACTTCGGTGTTTAGATATACCACCAGCAGGATCAGCAGCAAGGACATCACAGAGCGCACAGGATTTCGCCGGATTAGATCTATACCCGGGCGAAACTGTCGCATGGTGTTGGATATCCCAAAGCCAGCTGCAAAGATGGCAAAGTAGAAAAGCTGCGGCAGATGTACGGTGGCCTCGTGGGCACTCTTGTCGCCAACCACAATGGAACCATTGATGCAGAGGAATCCCACAAAGGGCAATATGATGGAGGCGTAGAAGCAGCACTTGGCCAAGATGCTGAGGATGCAATTGCACAGCAGTTGGGGGCTACTAAAGAGTTGCAGCCAGAGCTGAAAGCAAACGTACTTTATAAATGGAGAATATATAAAACCAAAGGTAATGCCCACCTCCTTGCCCAACAGCCGAAGTTTTCCCTTGGGCACCGCCCGAGTTCGGGCGCATTGCTGCACCAAGGTGTCCAGCACAGTCATTCCAGTGCCCATGCAAACCCACACGATGTTCGTCTGCCGCATGAGCACACTGGCCGCCCCGAAGACGGCCGCCGGCAGGTGTGCCTCCTGCTGCCAGTAGTTGTAGAACAGCAGCACCATGGTCAGCGCCAGGGTGTCCGTGTAGTAAAGATGACCAAAAAAGTAGAGCGGCGGTAGAACGGACAGCGTGATTGCCTCGTGGGCTGCGTACGAGTTGCCACCGGAGCCAGCCAAAACCCGCCGCCGTATCTTGTATAGCAGCAGGATGTTGAATCCGGCGCCTGCCAAGCTCAGCAGCCGCAGGCCCGTCACCGTGCACAAGTTGAAAGGACTGAGAACGAGCGCGATGAGGTACAGGCCCGGGAACGTGGTTATCTTTGGGTCCCACTAAAAGGAGAAAGCCGTGAATAAAACTAAACACCTCCTGATCCTGATCTTTGGTTTTACCACATCGAACTCCTTGCGGCAAAAGGCCAAGCCCTGCGGTATGTGGAACTCCTCGTCGATTACGTAGTCCGAGGTGCCGTTGACGCGCAGGAACAGCGGCAGGCTGTACAGCACAAAGCCCACGGGCAGCACCACCTTCCAGGATCCGTTCATGGCCGAACGGATATATCCGCATCCGGCTTCAAATAGTTCAATTGGGTTTGTTTATTTTTGGACCAAGCCAACCGGCAAGGCGTGGGAATGCACTAACGCGTCGCTCCTCTATAAGATCTGGTATTAACGTAGTTCAGGAAATACCAAAAACATTAGGGGTAGTCGTAATGAAAAGTAACGGTTTTTGTGAAATACAAATTTAAAATATATAAAAATATTTTTGAATAAAAACAGGAAAGCATGGCCTGCAAACTTAAAACACCCGTTCTGTTTTTATTTCACCCGTTTGTTAATATATAACAAAGGTTTATTATTTTTCTGATCCTTAATATGGAGGCTACAAGATATAAAAACAATGAACAAATGTTAAAATACGCCGAAAGTTGAAATATTTTATTTTAATTTCACGATAAAAACTAACAGGAAAGGCATTCCGAATCGAAATTACTATTTTTTGACTTCATTATGATCGATTTCAAATAACCCAATCGCAAAACTTTAATTTATTAAAAACTCTTAATAAGTTTTAACATTCTTAAAAAGTTTTTAACATTAAATCTTTATATTTTTAATAAAAACTTAAAGCATCACACAGCGTGACAATCACTTGTGGATAGGGATGGCAGCCAATTCCTTGCTTTTTAGTGCTTTTCCTTGAAACCCAGAGTAAAAGTAATTTCCGTTTCAATGAAAAAAAGTTTATTCATTATTATGGTATTTGAATATACATACATTTCGAACTTTAACATAAAAGTACATACAAAACAGAATGTTTAACAAACAGTACGACTTAATGACTACCAAAATCCAGGCTGCTGGAAGTACTAACTGATAATGCCTTTACTATATATCTGGGCGCTATATAAAATGTTGTGTCGTGTGTAAAGTGGACGGTTGTGGCTGGAGCTTTGGGTTTATCTCATCTTTTGGTGACCACTCCCGGTCACACGGAGAACTCCACCTTCCGCTGCTGTCGTTGCTACTTGTTCACACTCCGATAGATCATCGGAGCCGATCGGTCGTTGGTCTTGGTGTGTCGCAACTTGACGGTGGCGAACTGGGAGGCTCTGCAAAAAGATCAAGGACTCGTCCAGGTAAGGAGTGTGGCCCTGGTGACTCCAAATCGCTACGATGTGAGGGACACCTCTACTTACGGCGGAAAACTCAACCTAATACGGGGTATGGTGGGGCTAGCTGGGAGACACGAAATCGCTACAGGTCAGTAACCTATGGAATAGTTGCGGTAAATACCGCGCCTGCTAAGAAAAATCAAATTGCATTCGCATTACTTGGGAACTTTCAAAAAATGAAATGGGGCGCAAGCTCAGTTCTTAAAAAAAATTAAATTTAATGATTTGTGTATGGTATGGGTCTAACTGCTAGAAGAGGTCCTTGTACTGTGGAGTTTCCTCTGACATTCTGCCCAGTTCACCCACACAGGTATTTTAAGTACCTTTTTAAACTAATATAAGATATTTACATAGAACAAACGAAACATTGCTTGACTTAGGCTATCATTTTACAGGGTAACTCTGGCTTAAGTTTAACAAAAAAATACAAGGCAACTGGAAAGGATTTTGGGATAAGGTAAGGGGTTTACTGTCAACACTTCCGCTGCAGCTCATCCACTCCCACACTCTCTGCTCATTTTCTTATCCTGTAAGAAGACGGCGAAACTCCATGGTCATCCTGTACTCTGGTCTCTCCTTACTTCAGCTTGGCACTCGATGATTTCTGGCCTGTGATTCCATGCTGCTCCTGATCCCAAAAGTCATACCACGGGCCGTAGCTCTTGTTGCCCGCCAGGCTCTTTGAGTTCCGTTCCAGTGTAGCACTGCTGTTGATGTTGTTGCCGGAGGAGCTGGATGACTTGAGGAGGCGGGTGCGCGGCAGAATGGTGGCCGTTGGGGCGCCCGAACTGGCGGTTGAATTGCGGGTCAAGGTGCTGTCCTGCTCCTTCGAGGAGCCCTTCTTTAGCGTGTTGGTCGCCGTGGTGGACGTGGAGGAGCGGAAGGTGTGGAACTCCATCTGCTGGTGCTGCTGGTGGTGACGGCGCAGCTTGTCGTCCTTGCGCACCAAATGATCGTTGATCACTATGCAGTCGTACGGGTCAGAGCTAGTTGACTTCAACTCCGCATCGGACTCCTCATCGTCCTCGCTGGTGTAGTATTGCTTGAGTATGTCCTGGCGCTTCACCGTCTTCATGACCAGTCCGTGGCCATGACCGTGACCATGGCTCTTACCCTTCCCCTCATCAAAGAAGTTGTTAACATCGCTTAGCTTCAGGGTTCCATGCTCATCGCTCTCGCCCTCGTCCGTGGATTGGGGGAACTGCTGCTGCTGTTGCTGCTGGGTGGGCTTGGAGCGGCTCAGAGTCTGCGACTTGTGCTGCGATCCTGCTCCGGCCGAGGCCTGCTTGTCCAGCTTGCGATGCTGCTGTTGCTGAAGCTGCTGCTGCTCCTGTGATTGGCCACGCCGCATGGTGCTCATACGCTCGCTCTCCGTCGGCTCTTCGATGTCTATTTCAATGGTTTTCATTATCTTCATGCGCGACTTGGGCGTATAGCTGCTCCTCTGCGGCTGTGGCTGCTGCTGTGGACTCACACCGTACAGGTTCTCATCCTCATCCCCGTAGGGCTCGGTGCTGGTCAGGCTGTCCTTTCGTCCCCTTCCTGGCTTCTCCTGCGATGAGTTGGAGTTGTGGGACTTGGTTAGAGTGCCGTTGCGCTCTTCATCGGAACGCCGCTCCAAGTCCTCCCGGTCGCGCATGTCCTCGAGATTGGGAGCCGCCACCAAGTCGCGGTGCTGCCACAAGGACATGCCAGCCAGGATATCCTCGCCACTGCGCCCACCGCCAAACTTCCAGAAGGACTTTGTGCGCTTCAAACCGGCACTCGAGGCCTGCAGGATCTCATCGTCGGAGGCAATCAGGTCGTAACGCATCTTGCCTGCTCCACTTTGCCGGCTCAGCCGATGGAGGCTTTTGTCATCGATCTGGCTATCCACGCTGTTCCGGAAATTTCGGTTTAATGTCCACGAAGCCACATCCCGAGGCACCGTGTGGGTGTGCGAATTGGTGTCCGCTCGTCGTCTGTTTTTTGTGGTTTCGGTGGTGTATTGGGTTGTGTGTTTTTGGGTTGTGTGGTGTTGGTGGTATCGGTGGGTTTCGAGTGTGTGTTTTCGGGATGCAATTTTGGGTGGTTAACACAAAGGATGGCAACAGAGCATAAATGGCGATACATGAAATCAAATCAGAACGGAAAAAAGCAAATGAAAATAAATTAAATTAATTAATGGCACTATAAATCAGGCAAGAATCAGGAAAAAACCGAATGGCAATGGTAAATGCTAGAATTAGTCACAACAAATAGAGAGCAAAAGCGGGATGCTGCGACTTGGCTTGAAGTGCAAGGACTTTGCTGGTGAATATATCTGCTTAATAGCTTTAAAAGAGGGATTACTTTATCCTTGCTCTCCAAGCCATAGTTTTTCTTACTAAACCTACCGTATGGGGACTCTCTGCGTGGCTGCTTCCTCATCGGAGTAGTCCACCTCCGGCTGTGGCGGTGGCTCGTTGGCGAATCCACTGTCATTGCTGCTGTGCAGCGAGGTCTTCGCGGCAACTCCGGACTTGCCCGAAGGATGGCTCTGCCAAGAAAAACATTAAATAAACTACTCTCAATTTAATACCAAAGAGTTCCTTACCTGGACACCGTTCAACAGCTTCTGCTTGCGTCTCTCCACCGCCGACGGAACGCCTCCATTCGTGGCGCAGAAACTCTGCGAACTGTTTAGCATTCGGGAGGACTGGCTCTGCTGTCCACTGGGCACTGGCACGGGGGCGGGCAGCGTTGGTGGTGGACCTGGACGTGGATTAGCTCCAGAGCCGGCGCGATACTTCTTCTGCTGCTTGATGGTGTCACCGAACATTCGCGTGGGCGAGGACTCCTCGGCACTGTGGTTGCGTCGCCTTCGGTACGTGGCCTCGTGGCTCTCCATCAGCTCCAGTTGGGCCTCGTAGTCCTGCTGCTGCTGCTGGTAGTTTCGTAGGCCACCTGCCCCAGAACCGGAGCCCGATCCACCACCATTTCGCTCGTAGCTCATCAACATATTTTCGTAGCGCCGTCCGCCAGAGGTCGAAGATTCCGTAGACTCTGCATTAGTGTACGCCACCGGGAACCAGCCGAAGTGCTGGGTACGCAGATTCTCGCCAAACTGCCAGCCCTTGGCCTTGCCGCCCACCAGGGCAATGCGGTCGCCCTCCTCGAAGGACAGCTGGTTCTCCCCAGAGGGCATGTAGGCATAGAGCGCCTTTACCAGTGGCCGCTGATCGCCGCGCTGGTCATCGCCCAAAGGTGCCAGCTGCTCCTCAATGATCTTGTGTTTGTTGCCTGCCAAGCAATGATAAGGTTATAATAATTAATTATTTATTATAATTCGAATTATTTATAAGTTTCAATTTGCAATGTAAATAAAACATGTTCGCTTTTTTCTATTTTAAAAATGATTTGCAAATTCTTTGAAATTCTTTAAACTTTTACAAATGCTTAAAAAAGGTGAAAAAGAGATTTAAAATATAAGCCAGATTTTTTAAGAAAAAAAAGGATGCCTCCTTTCTGTGATAGTTATAAAGCGAATGTGGTTAATCAATCAAAATATTCAATACATAGTTTTCTTGTATTGCTCTAGATATTTTTTTAAATATTGTCTTTGTTTTTGCTCATTATACCCTTGCAGGGTATTATAATTTCAGTCAGAAGTTTGCAACGCAGTGAAGGAGACGTTTCCGACCCCATAAACCATATATATTCTTGATCAGCATCAACAGGGAAATCTTTCTAGATATGTCTGGAAGATATGTCAGTTTTCCGATTTAAAATTAATGCTCTTTTGGCCGAGTTATGATATTTTTAATTTAAAAATAATCAAGAAGTTTTTTAATATAAAAAATCAGATTTTATAATACAAAATAATATATTTCTAAGTCAAGGAATCATTTCCGACCCCATAAACCATATATATTCTTGATCAGCATCAACAGGGGAATCTTTCTAGATATGTCAGGAAGAAATCGATTTTTTGGCCATTTTTGCGAAATTTGATAAGGGGTCACATCATTAAAATGAGCAAAAATTGCAAAAAATTTGGATTTCTTAAAATTTTAAATTTGGTACGCAGTTTTTTTAAATTAATAAAAACTAACACAAAACTGCTTTCCGAATCGAAATTATTGCATTTTTGGCTTAGTTATGATATATTTTAATTGTTACCTGCAAGGGTACCATATAACAACCTTTGGCTGGCCAACGTTAGCTTTCTTTCTTGTTTTATTGTATTATTATTATACAAATTAAGCGTAGTTTAAAATATTTAAATTATTTGTTTGCTTTATAACACTGAATTGAAAAATATTCTTTTAAATAAAAATATAGCTAGTAAATAGTTTAAAAATATACAAATTAAAGAATCATTTTCTATATCAAATATTTATGAATACCTACTTTTCAAATATAATTTAATTAAATTCATTCTCTGGGCTTTTTGTTTAAAAGAATTATTACATTTAAAATATTTTAAAGAGGGAAACATTTAATGGAATGATTAATGAATTCCTACCTGAGCTCGGTCCAGTGCCCACCAAAGCCAAATTAAAGTCGGACTTGGCGCGCGGAAGCGAGTTTTGGGCGTAGTGCGAGGACCCGGCCCCGCCCATTCCGGAGATGTTCTCACGCTCGTGGAGAGTACGCATATCCCCGTAGGGGGCGTCGATGCTGCGCGACTTCTTCAGCTGGGCACCGTGTCCTTGTAGCTGGTCATCGTCTCCATCCTTGATACGCTCCTGAAAAAAGTTAAATAAAGAAATAGAGTTAGTTAGAGGAAACATTTTTATTTTACAAAACAGGATACTTTTCTGAAATATATCCTGAGGATCTTCCCAATTTCACAATTTAAATTTAAATTCTATCTCAATATCCATTCAAATTTCAACGATTTCTCCATTGAAGCTCATGAACATGAAGCTTCATTGCAGTTAACACAGTGGTTCGCGCCCAATTTGATAGGATCGGATCGATTTGAATCGCCCTGATGGGGCGGAGAGAATGACTCACCAGGCGTCGCATGTTGCCGCTGATGTTCTGGTGGCCGTTGCTGCTGCTGCCGTAGCCGCTCTCGTACGCGGCCGGGGGAATGATCTCACGAGAAGCGGCAATCTCTTGCCAATTTTCGAAATTATTATCAATTACCGTCTTGCCGGTGGTGTGGTAGGCCATCCAGTGCTTGGCGATGGAGCACTGGCGCTCCAAGACGAATCCATAGCGTCGCCGCTCCTGTGTCATGGCCTTTTCGCCGGAACGGAAGTGGGAAAGAGCAAAAAGTCATACATAGAAGAAAATTATGTGAATTAAAAAAATATATATTTACAAATTTTATAAAATTATCATATTTCATTATCATAACTGGAATGTATTTTTTACTCTAATTCCAAGTTTTTAAAGCTTATCAGAGTGTAAATAATTGTGTGCTCATTTAATTTCCCTCTGTGTAGCCAATGAACTCACATTCTTATAACTCTGATCGCAGAACGTATCTAGCTTCTTCTTCTGGTCCTCCAGCACTTGCAAGCTCTGTGGGAAAATGTTTTTTTTAGAGGGTTCTGCATATTGCCTGGGCATATTATCCTTAGCTCACCCTCAGCTCCTTTTCGGTGTTCTCGGGCGTGGCCTTTTTCTTGCGCTGTTTCTTCATGGTGGAGACGGCCTTCTGGTAGCTCTCCATGCGCACCTTGTGCTGCTGCAGGAATTTCTTCTGCTCATGCTGCACCACCTTCGTGTCCTTCTCCAGATTCGTTTCCAATGGCACCAGTAGATCCACGTAGAAGGCTTTTAGCTGTAAGGACATAGGAGAAGATGTGCAATAATTTAGAGTTATTGAATTATTAAGTATTAAGAAAGGGATCAAATTCAAATGGGATTAATTCAAGTCATTGTTTCTTAATATTTTTAATATTTTTTACATAAAATTTGGTATAGTTAAATTTCTTCTATACTCACAATATTCATCTGCTGTTCCTGTATCTCCTTGTTGACATTCACAACGCTCATCAAAGCCGAACCTGAGCATAAAAAGTAACAATATTGCAGGATAAAAATTAAGTTCAATAGGATGAGCGGGAGTTATAAGGAGCCTGTATTTATATTTGGCCCAGAAACTCTTACCAATATCGCCCGTTCCGCTCTGCTGGGCGTTCATCGCAATCTTGGCCAATGCTTCATTGAATAGACGCGAGGCGGTTGCGGCACCTGTTGCATGAAATGGCATGGAATGCATTGCAAATTAGTTAGCTGTACCCACTAGCAGCAGTCGATTATGGTGTTATACAGTATATACTGGCACTGGCACTCATACTGGTACTCATACTCACCGTGCAACGCCTTGAGGTAGCTTTTGCCCGCCGCGATCAGCTGCCTGGCTCCCGGATTGAATCGATCGAGTATGTTCTGCAATGGAGGAGATCGGAGATCGATGGCATCGTTAGCTTGGCTTTATCCATGTGCCTGCTTATCGCAAGGCTAATTAAATGTAATTTATGAGAGACCAGCGCGCTGGCCTAACCAACATTTCAATTTCCTCAGCAGCCCGCCCGAGTTGGTAATGGTTTATTCCCTGCTTGCCTCCGGCAGTAAAAGTCTGTTGTATAAGTTAATTCGAGACAATGTTGTGGTCAGAGCCAGCGACATCATTAGTTCCGTGTAGCCAACCGAACATACTCGCACTCGTAATGCTAATTGCTCGTTTAGCAATCTCTCATCTATGATTTAGCGTTGAATGTAAATGAAAGTTGAAACTGAATAAAGACTGAGTACTCTTAAGAAAAATGCTAGAGATTCCTTTCAGCGAGAAAAGTATTTATCACTATCTTTCATTCCTAATGTTTTGTAAATTTGAAAATTCTCTAAGTTTACTTAGCATTATCTAAAGTTAAATCTAACTGATCTATTAAAACAAGTTGTCAACTATTTTTATACCCTTGCAGGGTATTATAATTTCAGTCAGAAGTTTGCAACGCAGTGAAGGAGACGTTTCCGACCCTATAAAGTATATATATTCTTGATCAGCATCAACAGCCGAGTCGATCTAGCCATGTCCGTCTGTCCGTCTGTCCGTCTGTCCGTCTGTCCGTCTGTCTGTCTGTCTGTCTGTCTGTCTGTCCGTCTGTCTGTTTCTACGCAAACTAGTCCCTCAGTTTTAAAGCTATCTGAATGAAACTTTGCATATAGTCTTCTATATGCTCTCACTGCTATATATGTCGGAACGGGCCGGATCGGACGACTATATCATATAGCTGCCATACAAATGTTCGATAAATTTTTAGAAAAAAAATTATAACTTGGCTGTTTTTCAACATATGTGCACTATTTTTGACATATGACCATTTTATATTATTTCTGAATTTTGGTAAAAATTTTATGAAAATCGGACGAGTATATCATATAGCTGCCATAGGAACGATCAGGAAATTAATAGAAAAAAAATTATAACTTCGTTGTTTTTCAAACTATTTTTTTCTACTCTGGGATATAAGCTTATTTTATTAGTTCAGAATTTTGGTATAAATTTTATGAAAATCGGACAACTATATCATATAGCTGCCATATAAACCGATCGGTAGGTGTAGGGAAAATGTAAAACTGGGAATGTAAAACTGTAACTGTCAAACTCTCAACATAATAAGTATAGGTAAAATGCAATGAAATAATATCTGCAAGGGTATACAAACTTCGGCGTGCCGAAGTTAGCTTCCTTTCTTGTTCATGCTAAAATAAAGTTTAAATTTATTGGTTTCAAACTTTTACGGCTGCTAGTAAATTTTTACCCAGTGCGAAATAAGGAAGACATCATTTATACATTTTTATATTTTTAACCCGTTTTTAAGTAGTTGAAGACTGGATTTAACCAGATCTTATCTAGTCTGACATTAAAATATTTGTATTTTATAGACTCCATGAGGAGTGTCAACCTGCTTTTGCGACTTGGCTAATTGAAAACTAATTAATGCCATTACATAATTATGTTTAATCACAGTCAATTAGTCCAAGCGGGTTTAGCTTTATCAAAATTAGTATGAGCCAAATAAACTTAGACCTTAAAATCTAGTTTACTTTCTAATAATATATATGATATAATATACCATATGTACTTTAATATAAGTTAACGAATAACAAACTCGAAAAATCATCAATCCCCTATGTACACATATTTCCCTGGCCTTAGCACCTTGGTGATTTATTATCGCCAGAACTCCCTCATCGCCGAGGCTATTTAAATATGAATTACACCTTTTTTTTAGCTGAATATGAGTCATATGATCGATCAATTCATCTAGGGCTGCGGAAAACATTAACAGCCAAACGACAATTAATTAACAACTTTGCCCATGAGTGCGGGGGGATTTGCATACAATTCACGACTGAAGCTGCATTGCCATGGATGACGTGAAGCGATTGTCATGTGAAATGTGGAAGGGAAGGGTGACCTCATCGGAGAGGCGAGTGTTGACACCTGAAAATACGACAAAGCCACACATTGGTCCTGGGCTTGGCCTGAAGTTGTTTTGCGAGCAGACAATGCCGAGCACTTAACACGCAAACCCGAAACAAAAACCCAAATTCAAAGTTCTTTTTTGGCCACAAAGCGTTTGCCTTGTTCAGCTCTTTGAAAGTCAAAATCTTTGGCATCTCTCTAAGCTTAATTGATGACTGTTCCCGTGATAGGTAGGAAATTCTTTGACGGCCAATCACTTCCGCCAGAAAAAATAGCTGATCAAAAGCCCAGCACTCACAGTCTGCGAGTACTGACTACCGAATGCCTTGGCCGAGTCAAGCAATTAGCAACAAAATGTCAAAAAGCCAGTATGTAAACAACACATTCTGCGCGGAACAGTTCGCCCCGCTTGTGCCGCGGTTTATTGCCAAATGTTTACGCCCCGGTTTTTACTTTATTTGCTTTTCTACGAGTCAATTTATTGGCTGCGAATGCGGTGGCGAGGCGTGGGAATGGATCGGGGGCCAGCACTCGGGCTGAGATACTTAGATACTTAGATACTTAGATACTCGACCCCCAAGGTCGTAACAGTTTAACGATTCAACTCGTCGCCCGAGTGTTTGCTTTTATGATCTACTACTAGCCGGCTGATTTAAATATAGTTTGAGCCTCCACTCTCAGATACAGATACTTTTATGTGCACTTGCCTGCATCTCCAGCTCTTGGCTCTTCTCGGCTGACCTCAGTGCAGCTTTTTCTGGCTTAGATAGAGATACGTTTTGTTTAGATAGACACGGATACCCAAATAACTTGATAGACTCAAGTGTGTTTGAGATACAGCATTTATGGGTTTATCAATGTTAATTGCTTTGTTGTCGTACACACGCTTTGTGGCCAACTCATTTTGTGGTTGCAGCCATCCATCTCTTGGAATTGAACTTGGAGTAGGCCATAATAGCACACGATTTGGATATTTTGTACTGTTTGTAAACTGATTATACCCTTGAAAGTACTTTAGTTTTGTACTTAATTGAAATCAAAATTGAATAGGAAAAGGTTTAAGCAATGCACAAAGTTACCTTTCCCTAAAAAAACGCACCTAATCTGCAAATATTTAAATTTCAGCAATAAATTTGGCAATCAAGTTCCCTTTTTTTGGGGCGATGCTATCTCTTCCTGTAATTGCCCAAACTGTTTAACAAATTCCTGCTCGTTCGATCCAGCAATTAACCAAGTTAACCACCTTCTCCCTCGGTACTCAGGCCTGAAACTGACGCAATCGCTTATCACGCCCGCAAATCTACGACCCACAGACAACACTTAACCCAAAATTAATTGAGGTAGTCTTTGCCCAGCACTTGGCATATCCAGATCCCAAGCCCCAGTTCCGAACTTAAACCCAAACCCAAACCCAAACCCATGTGACTTGGTCTCTAATCGTCGCTTAACATAAATCGCCAGCAGTGAGCGCCACACATATGTAATTTTGTTTTAATTAAAACAGAGACTAAATGTAAAGCATAACACGAAAGCCACCCATTTGCTTAGGAAAGCAACGAGGCGGAATGTTGGGCGGTATACAGAGGGAGAAATTAAACTACAAAATTATTGGGAATTTCTTTGAAGCAACTTGGTATCTTGCCACAATTTTAAGCCAAGGATCTTGATTTAAAATTCTGTAAAATATATTTTAGACCTTATTAATATACGTATAAATATACTAAAAGTTTTAATGATACTTTAAAACCAGTTAAAACTTTTAAAATTAGTAAACACTATTTTCAAGATCGCATTTTGTGAACAGAAAGGTGCAGCAGGTTGTTTTTCGCAGTGTCGCTTTGGTTTAGCAGCACAGGCGCTATGGCGTTGGAGAGCCTCTTTCAGGTTGGGCCATAATTCAGGAGACACACCCACCGCAGAGCATGCGGGAATGCAGCACGTAGCCGGGGCAGCAACAGTAAACCGCAATTATGCCAATTAGAAACCAACAAATGCAAAAAAGCAACACGCAACAGGTTTGCCGGCAACAACACCTCAAACTCAAACTGAGACTCAAACACAAAGTCAAACCCAACTCGACTGTTGACAAAACCTCAACGAAGGCGTTAAGGCGCAACCAGTCACGCCTCCTCCTCCTCTTGCCCCGCCATGTGAGTAGTATCCACTCCCCGGACAGATGAACGCAAAGTGCGTGAAAAATGCTAAACGCAGATAGTTCTCGGTTGCGTGACTTCTTCCCAGGCTTGGTTCTACGGCGAGCTCAAATGAAATTGTAATTTTCTGCCAGCGAAGACTAGATGTCCTTGACGATATGAAGGATAGGTAAGTATATGGGGTTACGACATGCCAAGTTGTGGAAATATAACAATGACAAATATAAATGTACTCTGTTTGTTCACTAATTGTTTGGGTCAAAGGTAGGAGGACGGCTTTTAAAGCAACTTTAATTAGAAGGAAAGTTTTATAAAAGTAAAAAAGTATAAAATCAATTACTAAAACTCTTCACCATCCCATCTTAAGCAAATAGGGTATCTGGGAAATGGACCCAGTGGGCTTGGTAGGGCTTCTCACCGGTAAGTCGGACGTTAACCCAGTTCCATTCGCCATGGTCATGCCAAGCCACTATGCCCATTCCCCCCCAGACCAGGGGATGTGACATCGTTCCGAGTGGCAGTGGCTCCTCTAATGCAGCAGCCTTAGAAATGCCTTCAACATGGCAATCAGCTGCAGTCCGAAGTCCGCAGTCGCCACTGGCAGCCTCGATCCCCCAGACGGTCTGTGGACACTAGGTGGCTGCAATTTTAATTTATTTCCCCGCTTTTTCTCAGCACTTTGGACACCTTCGGCCCACAATGTGGCAGTGCACCGTGCTGGGTGCCAACTCTTGAGGGGCTTCGCCTCCACCTTCTCCTCTTTCCACATCTCCATCACCTTCTACCTCGACTTCTCCACCATCTTCTCCCTTTCCAATCGTCTGGAGGAGGCAGGTTGGCTTTTGTGTGGTCAGCTGGATGTCATTCTGATCCAATCCAAGCTGAGCCAACCCGACTGGCGGCAGGCTCAGGGGCTTCGGTTTCGATTTATGTTGCGGAGAATGTGCCATAAATCTAAGCGAGTGACAAACAATCCGAAGGCATTCATCGCCACCGGGCTGGCACTGGCAGCTGTTTGGTTGAAATGCGTTTTTGAAATTAACTTGACGGCCCGAAACTTGATTGCCAGTGTTCAAGTAGCTTGTGGTTTTTATTTAAAAAAAAATGAACATATATAGTGGGGTGGGTGAGCTGTTGGCGGTAGAACTTCCAGGGGTTCAGGGACCATAAAGCCGAGTAAATTAATTTATCAAGCTGTAAGAATTCTAAATTTATTTTCTGCAATTGCAAAAATTGCAAAATATTTTTTCTACATTTTTTTCAAGAGAATCACCAGCTTATTTTGGCCTCAGATAAACTCCAGATAAAACTTTAAAAAGTGAAAGCGGCTTTTGCAAACATCTCTTAAGTACATCTCTCAGGCAACTTTACTCGTTTGCCATTCAAGATTTATCGTTAACCAGAGTACAAGATTTATTACGGGTGCAAGCAAAAACTTAAGCTGCGAGTTTCATAAATTACAAGGCCTCTGGTGGATTTATATAAGCATTTAAAAATATTTAAAACTACAAACTTATATATTTTTGCGAATAAAAAACAAGACACAAAAGGGGGTAATACGATTTTAACAATCTACAAATAAACAATATATGTTAGCTGTATTTTATAATATTAAAACCATAACAAATATACTTTAATAAATTAAACTGAATGATAATGAATAATACAACTTTATTAGATTAATTTTTGGCATTGAAACCCATCAATCGCTTGGCTAACTACCCATAAAATTCCCATTTTAGCTCCATAAAGAAAACCCCTTAAAACAGTTAAGTGTGCCAATTTTAGAAAGGCCAAGTCGCAACCCAAAATAAAGATAAGCAAACTCGGTCCACTAATGAGTTTAGAATAGAGACAGCCGAAACCCGAATGGTATCGCATTAATTAAAACCCGTTCAAGAACTTGCACAGACCAAACCCAGAAGTGAATTCACACACTCCCGGACAGAAAGGCGAATGGCAGGCAATCCATTAAGCAAAACAAGGCGAACTCCATGCAGCGTGGAGATATAGTATAAGTGTGCAAATCAAATGTTTATATAATAAATCGATTGATGGACTGGTCCAAGGCGGCGGTTGCGGATTAATCAGTGGAAATTAAGTCATAATCTGGTATGCGTCGAGGAGGAAGTGACTCCAGATGATTGATGCCCGGCCATTGAGATTCCAATTCAGATCTTTTTCCTGCCGCAGCGAGTTCGTTTCCTGAGTCTTTCGTTTGCACTCGGGTTTGTCAAGTGCCACTAATTAAATCAGCCAGCAGCAGCGCCCATTTACTCGATTTACATTGTCGCAAATAAACAATAACAGTGCAAACAGAAGAGGAAAAAGAAAAACACGAGCGGGAAAAATGCAAATGGCGGTCGCGAAAATGCAGCCATGTGCAACAGCAGCCAAGGAAGCAAACCAAAAACAAAGTTTCCGCAATTTTCAGGCGGCAGAAAACCACAACCAGCGGCGGCAGCTAGTTTTCCAAGAAAGAAAAAAACACAGCCGAAAGTTACATAATGAAATAGATGCGCGAAATGTGCAATAGCCGCCAACTTCGGGCAGATGCAAAGATGGAAAAGAGAAGCCGAAAACTTGCCAAACTCTCAAGGCGGAGTCGTCGCCGTGGCGGCTGTCGTCGCGTCGGTTTTGTTTTTTTTCTGCAATTTTTTCAAGCAGACAAACAAATCAAATCCCCAATTGAACTCGTTTGCTTTGTGGGATATACGTAGAGGCCTAAGTTAGATGTATTTGGGCAGAAATGTATGCCGAAAAAAAATAAAAAGAAAAATCAAGAAACAAGCACCGTGTGTCGTGACCAAATTTGGCTATGAATTTACACAGCAGCCCAACCGACAAGAAAAAATTCACTTTCAAATGTATTTTACCATTTTAATCTTCAAATATAGTATTTTTGTGTGTTTCTGGTTATGATTCCGAGGCTTAAACACCCTTTCCAAAAGGTACTTAAGACTCGAACTCCAGTTTGTTACGATGTCTGGGCACTTTGTTTAACTATCAATAAAACCTAATGTTAAAACCATTTGAAAAAGAAATACTCACATTAAAAACTAAATGCCTTTAAAAATGTTAAATTAAGTTTTCATTTCGGTTATCAAATTTACAAGTATAAGTTTGAAGGTTTCTGTAAAGTATCTCTTTTGATGGCTAATTTTGTGTTATATATCCAGAATTTATCACCAACCTTAGCACTTAAATTTTACCTACTTATAAGGAATAAACAATAATTATAGACATTAAAAATATTGGTTCATTTTCAAGGGTATCCCAGCTTAACTTTCAAGTCACGGCTCTTTGTTTTCATTTTGTAGATTAATTTTGGTGGCTGCCGCTTATGGAGATCGCGTGTGGCGATAAATTTCGTTACAAAAAGAAAACATTTAACGTTATAAATTGTTTTCCGAAAAGGGTACACATCGTTAACTGAACGTAACTGGAAATTAGTCGCAAGTGGCTAATAGAAACGGCCTCGTATTTAGGTGTCAGTGGGGTTGCATAAGTTTATATTGTGACCTCAAGCTAAGTGGAGTAGACGGTGTGCAATTATGTTTCAAATTAAATATTTCGATTTCAGAAAAAACATATTAAGAGGTATGAATTTCAAGATCAGATACAGCTGAGGCCCCATTTTCTATTTTCATTGCAAGTATTAATAGAAACCTTACCCTGTACACGCCATCGACGAGTTTTGTAACTTCCTCGGCCTCCATTGTTGCTGGGACCTTTATGCCGGGCCCTCCTGCCGATGAATGAGAAGTGGTTTCGAGTAGCCGAATTCCCGGGCTACCGCTGGATAATGGTTAATGATGAATTTGACGTCCAAGACCCGAAATCCCTTGCCGTCCAAATTCACTTTCAGCTGCAGCGCCCAGAGGCAACCTGGCACAGACTGCACTCGATTTTCACTTTCTAAATGTGGCACACACGGAGGAGACACCGCCGAAAAAAAGCACGGAGACGGGTACCGGAGTGACAGAAGACGTTGAACCGAACCGAAAGACTCGAATTTGGAGTAAACTTGTAACTTTGACTTTCGTTGCAGAATCTTGGAAATCTCGTTTCTGTCGTCGTGACTTTCTTTTTGGCGGGCAGACGAGAGACACACCGACCGCACCACGTAACGCGAGCCAGGTAAATGAAATGCCAGCCCAGAGATTTGGGTTTGGATTTGGGTTTATTTGTTTCTGTATTCAGCTTTTTGGCTGCCGACTTCTCAACGGGTTTTATTTTGGGGTCTTCGGGTCTCGTTCGTTGTTTGCCCAGCGACTTATCAACAACTTGTAGCTTCGGCACGTGATAGAGTTGTTTCTGTAAGGAGAGAACAGGAGGAACTATGAGTGACTTTGTATTTGTATCTCTAGGATAAATAATAAACAACAGCAGGAAAAATAAGTCCAGAAAGCGGAGGAAGTTAATTGCTAGGCAACGCAATTCATATTTAATCGATATTCGTTTAAGCTTTTTCTGACTTGAAAAGGATTCAGGAGATTGTCAAGAGCACAGCTTGTTAATTAAAAATAACTTAATTTTAAATAATTGCAGGTGTTTATATTAAACCTGTGAAAACAGTTTCTAAAAATGAGCAAACTCGACGATTTGCTGTCCAAAAAGAAGACGGTGGTGCCCGTACTGGACCTCAGTAGGAGCAATATCCAGACCATCGAAGAGTTCAAGCGGCTTTTTGAAAAGGTGCCCGACTATAAGATGCGACCAGTCAAAGTGCGCGCCGAGGAAATCAAAATCCGGGAAAAAGACTATGCCTTCAAAATGCCCAAAAAGGAGATGCGTAAGCTTATGAGAAGCAATGGCGAGCGAGAGGCACTCTACACCTACGCAGATCCCGTGCCTGGTGAGATGAAGGATGTGGTGCTCATGGAGCTATGCGCGGTGCCCATCGATTGGAAAATGTTGACCACATTGCGACCCAAGAACAAACAGGAGGAGGAGTACTTCAGCCGTATGGTTGAAATGGGAAAGCTGGAGCTGAAGACAGAGGCACGGGATCGTAGGGAGTTTGCCCTGAACAACTGCGTCAAGAAGATCAAGAACAAGTCGGGCATTGTGGAGACACGCCTGATGACCTGCGAGTCCTGTGGCGAGGAAATGTGTTGCGGTAAATATACAATAATTCCACAATTTTCTACCCTTGTCCTTTACTTTTTTATTATATTTTTCAGGCAAGACATGCGGGGACTTTAACTACGATTTGTACATCCGGGTGGAGGCCAGGGTGGTTAAGCCCAAGCCCGCTGCTGTATCCTCCAACAAGGCCAAGTTAAATGGCCGAAAGAAGTCGTCGGTGGGCGGAACCAAGATCAAGGTTAAGAAATCCTCAAACAAGACCAGTTAAATAAACCAAAATTCATTTGAAAATTAAAGGAAATATGCTTTAAAAGATAACTATGTTTTTACAAGCTCGTTTTGCTACTAAACTGTTTAAAAAATATATTCATTTATTGACTTTAGAAAACGTAAAGACGCGCATTTTAAGCCATGGGTAGCATTTATTAATGATGCTAATTAAAAAATACCATACATGATTTTTTATATTAAAGGTGCTAACCAATAAAAAGCCTAAGCTCTAATTAAAAGCGAGCTATAAAATTTAGTAAAATAAATTCATAAGATATACCAATAAAATGAAAAACATTTCATATTATTACCATACGCTTTGAAGTGTCTTTTTAAACATTTGTATTTAAGTATATTGGTTTCTTTTTTTGAACATATTGTTTATTCTTAGGAATTCCAGTTAACATAAAAGCTGTTACCAAACATCTCACAAAAACATGCTGTAAACTGCAGAAATAATGACCACACAACTCAAATGCAAAATAGTAGAAATTTTTGACGATTTTTTTAACCATTCAACAAGCGACAATCGAGTGTTTTTACAGGTCGCCGGCACTGGCAGCATTATGCTCAAAATGAAATGGCTAAAATATTTAAATTGCCACAGAGAGCAACACGGCCGAATAGCCATTAAGGCAAAGTCAACAAGGTAACAGGGGTTCTGCGCTCGGTGGTCTGGAGAGTCTTGAAATCGAGGAGACAACACTGAGCGAAAAATGTGGCCTAAAAAGATAAAGATTTTTCATCTATAAAGACTTGAAATATAGACTTGAAAATGAGATAAATGCTTTTATGATGGACTTCTATGTTAAGTTTTAGTTATTATGCATTTTCAATAGAAATAAAAATATATTGTTCAACATTTTTCACATTTCCACACATTTTTCGATATATTATATAAATATGTATATTTTAACTTAAGAAAGAATATTTGAATTTAGCATTTTTGTAATTTTTCGAATTTTTCCCCGTGTGACAGATGGGACAGAAGGACGCCATAGGCAATGTCGATGCGTTGGCGACATCGCTCCAGTGGCAACCAGCCACTTACTGCCCACGATCCGCTCGGCTCCGGCTTGTGCAACAATTTGTGCAAGTCTCCGCTCTCGGCCAGAATTCAATGGCCGCATATCGAAGCCTGTCTACATTTCAGATTCTCCAGTTCAGTTCCCCACGGCTCTCTAGAGCACAGCTTTTGATTACTAATGAGTCGAGTTCGCTTTTGAACGCTGTCAGCCGCGGTCTCAGCTCTGATTTATGCGGTTTATTTATGGAAATATCTATTCGCGTAGAAATTGAAAATTTACTTTGAATATCAAATTTATAGCCGCTGGGCCACAGCCGGGAGCCGAGGCGAAGCTTTGGCTTGGAATCTTAATTTGATTTCGATTTTCTTACAGCTTACAGGCTTGCAATTAACCGAAGAATGTGCAAGAAAAGAGAGTATGCGGAGCTTAATTGGGCATTCCAAGGCTTAAAAATAGGAATTTTAAAAATTATAAAGATTTAGCAAGCAGGAAAAGTAAGAATGAATAGAATTCTTGGCTTATCTACTCTTGAAATGATATTTAAGGCTGAATCTCTCAGCTTGCCCTTCCCTTGTAGCTCCCATTCATAGTTGGCACTCGTCGCCACATCTCACTCCGCAGATCAACCCAGACTGTTGACTTTTACCAACTTAATTGTGGAATGAAGTGTGACACACTCCATTCAATCCGAAATTCTGTTATTGTGAGCCTCAGCATCAATATGTCAGCACTTCGCCCGGGCGACTTTCGTATCTTGCGGGGTCTTTCACCCGGCCATGCCAAGTCTATTACGTGGGCACACACACGCGTCTTCCGAGGAAGTTTCCATTTCCATTACCATTTCCAACATAATGAAATGAAAACGAAAACATGTCTCAGATGAAACGAGATGAAACGCATTCAAATCTTACGAAATGCTTGATGTCGCATCTCGATATTTATGCAGATGCAAGATAAACACATTCCAGATAAGCCGTCGAAGTGAGAGTGGCGCGAAGAAAGTTGGGCCTTTTAGATGATTTAAAAAGCGTTTTTATTGGAGCTCTTGTCTACGTGATGTCTGGCCTGGCCAGTGGCCACGCCCCTGGGCATCGGCTAGAATTTAAAGCTGCCCCGCCCACCAAAGACTTAGGCAACAAACCTTGCAGCTGCATTCTTTTGAGGCAAGGTTAGCACTCGCCGCTCGTCTCTCTGCGGTCAGCACTTGGAACCCGATATCGCCCCAGTGGACGACGGCTTAATTATGCATCTGCCATGGAAATGTATGCAAAAAACAACGCTTGTCTATTAAGAACAAGGCCAGCATCGTAAGTCAGCCAGCATCGGCCAATGTTATGCCGAGAAAATCGAATATTGCATTGCTCAGCTGGGACTAAGCGGTATGATTATTGGCTTTTAATTGCTAGCTTAGCTTGTGGTTATTTTTAGAGCCTCAAAGAATTTGAAGGTGCAGTCACAAGGAATTTTATAAATAAGAAATATGAAGAATGTGGAGAATTTTAATAGAATTTAAGATAAAGAATATTTTTTAAATGTTTAAATAAGGAATTTGTCAGATTGCTGAGATGAGATTCATTGTTATAAACCGTTCTTCTTATTTTATAAATATATTTAGATATATTTCATACAAAAGTTACTTTATTTTTAAAGATATTTTGATATATTTAGAGATCTCTGAAGCTCAAAACTGCTTGCATAAAATAGTCAATGACCGACCACAAATTAAAATGTCATATTGGTATTTCCCGGATATCTTTATATCTTTTAATGGAATAGAGGGAAAACTCCTGGTGGGCGTTTCATACTCCCAGCCAAGGCGAGTGCCTGCATCCTCCCTATCTGGCAAATGGCTCAAAGCACCTGGAAAAAACTTTCGCCGAATCGAAGAGCTGATGAGCAGCCAACGACCATTCTCCTGACAGTCAAAATACATGCGAATAATCGGGTAAACAACTCTAAGCAGCATGTCCAACATCAGTTAAGTCGGCGGAAAAAAACGGCAGATGAGTCTGAGTCGGAGCAGCCGTCTCAGTCGTAGTCGGAGTTACTATTATCAAATGCTCGTCATTAACATTTGCTGCCTGCTGCGGCTGCAATCTCGACGTGACGATCAAATTGCAGCACATGTGAATACACGTGTGTGTATCGTCGGTCTGGGGATCGGAAAACAGCAAAAGGGGGCGTGAATGCCAGCGAAGATGTTGTGAAAATGAAATTAAACTAAAGGCCGAAGAAGACAATGCGACGGGGAGAAGATACATGCTTGCATGTATCTGTGTATCTGTGCGCTAAATTGCCGCCAGATACATTTGCAAATGAGTCTTAGGCACAACACAGCACACAATAAACATTGTTGAGCCATTCCATACCCCCGCTGCACACCGTTCCTTAGCCAACCAGCTGCTGCCATGCAAATCCCGTCTCGTTCACTCAAATTGGCAGTGAAAGTAAAAGTTTAAGTTATTTCTCTCTCTGGGCTGTCGAACCAAAGCCGCTGAAATGTACCAAGACCGATCTCCGAAGCCAAGCGATTCGAGCTGACGACTGGCCGACATCTCGCCTGACACTTGCTGCCATAAAGAGATGTGGTCTGGTCCATGGTAGGTGGTGTATTGGTAAGGGTATATGCCCTGAACCGAGGCACCGAGTCAGGCCCCTGCTGGCCTTGGCTCACCCAAAAAGCATTTGCAATTAACTTTTAACCATAAAATATTTACAAATATTTTTGGTAATGAAGAAAGAAAGAAAATTACTATTTCTTTGGGGTGATTAAAGGTGAGTTTTCACTGAATAAGGGAATCAGCCATAACCATAAACTTCTTTGAATAATTGTACAATTTGTTTTATTTTAATTTGATTTTTGGAATGCACTTAGTTTAAAATTAAGCTCTAGATTATTATAATGAAACTAATTATAGTCTCGATGTGCTTAAAATCCTTCTCCTCTTTCTCATCATTTAGAGGCAACTTTTTCTCATTCTCACTTTGCTGTTCCATTAACCCACTGAACCACCGGACACTCCCCCTCTCAAGAATCACCCGGTTGGAGGCTGATCACCAGACACACCCAACATGGCTAACACACTCCAGCACACACATCTCTCGAGTATAAATAGTCGTGACTTCGTTTAGCAGTACTCCTCACGTACTGGCATCATCTCCTGTTCGCTGCCATTGCTGGCGGGAAAAAAGAAGCTCTCCCCGTCATAAATTAGGTGCAGATGGAATCTCAAAGTGCCGACTCTAGTTGGCCTGCCTTTTTTCTCTGTGAGCGTTAATGGCAATATCTCTTTGAACAGGAACTGGGCATGTTGCCTACACCCACAACCACATTATTAAATGAAGAAATTAAATGGATTTTCTGAGCTTGGTTAACAAATAAAATATAAGGAAACTCAAGCTTGGGAATTTCTAACAGGAAAATTAGCACAAAAGGGGTAAAAGAACACTTTCCTGGCAAGTCTAAAATCTAATAAAAAGCGGAACTAAAATCACACTAATACATGCTCAAGTCTATCTGTTGATTGATTCAGTGGCACTTGTCATGGGATATGGCGGGGGTTCTCGCTACAGCTTCCTCAGCAGATCGGTAGCCAAAGCCAAAAACTCATTTGTCCGCCCACCGACCAATCATCGAAATAGAGATACTCGCAAAGACACAAAAATACTTCAATATGCCAGGGTACCGAAGTAAAAACAAATCGCCGAACGAGTGACGCCTGCGTCACCTGCAAGGAATGCGACCTTGAGCTGTCGCCGGCTATATGGGGCCGTTGTTCAGATGTCGTGACTGCCCGAGACCGAGCCCGGGCCGAGGCCCAAGCCCAGACCCAGGCCAGCTCACAGAGATGGAACCACGAAGTTGGAGCGGTTGGCGGGGGATCAGAACCCACTTGAGACGCAGAAAATAGCGCAAGTATCTCGTACAATAAAACACGTTTGACGAACGATTTGATGGCAAAGATGAAGA